TATTCTCAATCAATATGTTAAAACGTGAAATGCTTCAATTATAAATGTAAGACCATTATTCGAAAGAATTCACTCTAGACAAGAATATTGGAACACCATTCAATTAAGGAGGAAGTATTTAATAATAGTTACAAACACACTAGCAAGAACACTAACTTCCACTTAACGAGTTAAGTAGTAATGACATATTTAATGCTAGCAATAGACCGTGGAAATGGCCTTATCAAATCAAAGGCCACGAACTCAAATAGAAGGGAAACTATAATTGACTCCAACTATCTTTCTACAACATGAGAGAGAATACTATGAATTTGGCACCAAATGCAACTATACATATATTAGATAATATCACATCTCATCTCCGGCCAATAGAAAGATTTATGTAGTTTCTCGGTTACACGATAATGTTTCATATGCCCATCTAGAATAGAAGAATCATGGTAAATGTGAAGAAAGCGTGGAATAAAAATCAAAGGCACCATTAATCATAAATAATCATTAGGATATGTCCCTACAAAATTTTAGAGATGCTGAATCAAGTTCTAAGATGGTGTCACTACAGTTTGGAGAAAAATATTACTAAATCCCAACTGAAAGCAATCATTTTACCAATATATGATTGGTTGTATTGCTTAGTGAGCCTTAAAGCTTTAAATATATGATTTTCAAATTTTTCATTAATTAGGGAATTTTATAGATGATGTTGATATCCTTTTTCGAGTTCCTCTCCCATTTTATTCCTGATAAGCTTGTTATTCTAGCATTTACAGACTTTTTGAATAAAGATTCTATGCCATTGATGGTTGCTATATATGATGTTTAATGTCCATAAAGTGTGAAGCAAAATTTAATTTCCTTTGATGAGGTTCATGGGAATCAAAAAGTTGAGTCATGGATTTGAAAACTTCATAAATAGTTTGAAAATATAATATTATTTGCTAATGATCTGCCATTTTAGCATTTATATTTTCAATATCATCTTAAAGAAAACCTTTTCTATTTTGTTGGGATTGATTATAATGATAATTTATAGTTGGTGGTGCCTTTGATATTTATTCCAAACTTTCTCCATATTTATCACAACTCTTATATTTTAGGAAAACATATAGAATATTATATGTGATTGAGAAGCTGCCCAAGTCTTTCTATTGTTAAGAGATGTAATGTAATATTATTCAATATATGTGTAGTTGTGTTTAGTGCCAAGCTTATAATAGTTCTATTCGCAATGAAAAAGGACGGTTGAAGTCAATTATAATTTCCCATTTATTTGAGCTGTGGTGTTTGATTTGATAGGGTTTTTTTCCATGGTTGATTGGTGGCAATAAGTATATTATTATTGCCTTCAACTACTTGATTAACTAGTTGGAAATTGGGATTTATACTAGTGCATTAGTGACTATTGTTGGGTACGTCCTCTTCAATCAAGTGGTGTTTCAATATTCTTATTTGGAGTAAATTCTCTAGGATAAAAGTCCTATATTTATGACTAAATTCTCTCAGATAAAGTCATACATTTATGACTAAAGCATTTTACATTTTAATATCTTGGGTAGGGATATACCACACTTTCATAATATAAGCTTTTGAGTTTAAACTTCTGAGAGGTCACTCAGTCTAATACTATTTAAACCTAAGGACACTTAATCTAAATATCCCAAGATCCTTAACTAATTGGAAAAGGGGGTGCACTTTTATTCATAGGCCTTTTCCCTTTATATTTGAACCCCATGGATTATCTCTCAAGTAGTTCTCTTTGGTTGCTTACACATGAGTGCTTATCATTCACAGATAAATGGCTTGGTGGAATAACTTATTCAGACATTCAAAAGGATAATCATGATGTATGTAAATTTTTAGCATTTGGATTATGATGGTTATTTGTTGTCTCTTTGGTATGTATATGTCACAAGGGTATAAAGTTTTGATAGTGCTTCACTATATAAACTTCTATATAGTCATAATCTAATACTACCAACAGAGTTGAGTTTACTTTCACAATTACTATGAGTTGTTGATGCTATGGTCTAAGAATAGTATTTAATGAGCATTCTTTCATTTATCCGAGTGGAGTTTGTTAAACACTTGAGTTGCATATAGGTGGAACAACAATAGCATTACAATTTCTATAATTGTCCACTTGCGAAGTTCAAAGTGAATGATTTAGTATTAGTCCATTTTCCCAATCTTACAATATATAATTTATTTAAAGAGTTCTTTGCTCAATGGAAGGGACAATATAAGGTGTTATGGCAAGATGAATCACAAGTTTATGAAGTTTAATATAATGTTCAATAAGCCAATCCTCTAGAAATTTTGCATATGCAGCTAAAATACTTTATATAAAGGGATCAAGAACAATTAACACCACCTACAAATTCATTAATACCTCCTTTTGATGTTCCTGTATATCTTGGTCCATCAATTAAAGAACCTTAATTACCTTCCATCCTTCGATGTGAGGTTTAATTGTATAGCTATGATGCCATATATTAATATTAGTATAGTAGAATTTTAATAGCCATTGGATTGGTTTTAATTCAAACCACTTTCTTCTATATATAAATTAAAGTTTTTGGGTTAATTGATATACACATTTTTATATTCCACTTTCATATTTCATACACTCACAACATGGGATTTAGTCTTTCAATAAATAAGAAAGGGAGGTGTTGTTATCTTATGTTTTCTAATTCTAAATGATCGGTGTGGTATATGGCGACATTAGAATCTCACTGCTCTACATGTTTAGTAGCACTTTTCTTGGCAGTTTGTAATTAATATATTTGATTATTTAAATAATTTCTTAATTAATTCATGAGTAAACCTTAAAAATATCTTTAAGTTTAAGAAATAAAAGAGAATATTATTTTTAGAAGTATAAAGTTCCTCTTATGTAAAAATTTCTTAATATATTATTTTATGTCTAGTTTGATGGTAAAACTAAAGGATTGGATATTTTACTTTATCTTTCCTCATCTCTTATGATTTGTTACTGCAAAGTATTATTTTTATATTGATATAAAGCAGCATTAAAGGTAGTTTATTCATGATATAAAAATAAACATCTAATATATAAGGAGAAAGATAAAAAAGAAACACCAGCTACTTACTTTAGTCCTTTATATATATACAACCAAAGCAAAACTTTTGGCACAAATAACAATCAATAAGGGAAAGTTATTATTTCATGTATATATCTAATACATGAAGAGTCTAATGTATATAACCATAGCTTAAATCTTGCTAAAGTATTATATACTCAATCAATTCAATATTATGTATAAAATTGATGTTTCTTCTTTGATCTAAAATAATAGAAAAATTACCTTTTCTTCATCATCTGTGCATTTGTTAGATTATGTCAATTTATATTCTCTTAATATATCCAGAATCATTCTTTGCTCTGGTGCAGATGGGAAACTTTGGGAAGGATTTGGCTTATAAAGTTTAATATAAATGTGAGAGCAATCTAGATAAATTTATTTATGTATGTTCTTAAATGAAAAACTAGATACATAATAGAAATTATAATATTGTTTCATTAAACTATGAATGTTAGAGCTATCATTACACCTCAGATGAAAAGCATTTAACTCAGTATGAATTAAAATTATAACTTCACCAAAAATATTACAGAATTGAAAACCTATTATTCTTTAGTTTTGTAAAACTTAACTGTTTTTAAAGCTTGGATGTGTTTTGGTTGTATAAAGGCAATAAAAACTGTTAATTTTGAAGTTCATGATGCTAAAAGAAGTAGCTTGCATTATTATCTAATTGCATTATTTACATTATTATGTATTTCTCTAGAGATGAATAGTAGCAAATTTCTAAATAAATTTAACCATGCATAGAATTAAAATTCTCACATGCAAAATTAGAAAAGAAAATTGCTATATCTTCTAGCAGAGATAGGGTCCCTACTAGTCTTATGTATATTTTATTCTTGGCTATGGTTTAGGAGGATATTTTTTGAATTTGACCCATGTTCTACCACCCAAAACATGCCACATAGACCTCTCCTGTGATAGAGAGTGTACATCTCTTGTTGCCATGGACAAATCGGGCTCCTAAACTTTTGGGGTTCAAACACTAACTGAGAAAGTTGTATTTGTTTCATAAGTAAAATCTTAAATCAGTTCTAGTATTGAATATTTATTTGTTCCAAGAGTAATGAAGTTATGTGGGCTTCTTTGGTAACACATCTGCCTTCTTCAAGTGCATTTGTATCACTGTCACATAAAACATATATCTGCCTTTGTAAACACCAAAGATTGCGTTGAAGTCGAAATCTTCCACATCTTTCACAAACTTCAATTGTGTACTCCTTAACCCGCCAGTTGGGCTTAGCCGTCCGATGCCACCATCCTACGGCCCAATTTTTATCTTGGAGAAAATCTCCAACGTAATAGACGAATCCCCTGCCGAGCTAGAAAACGAGCGCTGATTCCCGCTCTCTCTTCCTGCCTGTTGGGGCTGTACCGCCCCTTGGGTTTTGGGGGGATTTCCCGTTCAATGCTGTGCCTGAGGCATTCAATGGCAAGCTTAATAGCCAGGAGTTTAATTCCTGGCTTCAGCTTCGCGACCAGCAGGAGGACAACGAGTCCTGCGATCGGCGCTAAAGCATGGTGATGCGCCAATGTCATTGCACCAGCGTTTCTTGTCAGAGATGGAGGGAAGAGTTCTACTGCAAGTTCCCAAGAAGGCCGTTGTCATGCTGCTGCTGATCTTCTTGGGGACTTGCATTTCTAGAAGGTAGAAGAAGAGGTCCAGCTGACTGAAAGGTATGGTTATAGAAAAAGACATGTCCACCCCATAGCTTCAACGGAGAAGCTCGAAGAATGGTGGAAGAGAACAATAAATTCCCATACCCCACAGTAAGATTCTTGCTTCTTTTTCTCTTTTATTTTTCCCGTACAGAAACTAACAATAGCTCAATCAGCTCGAAAGAGACAGGTTTGACTATGGAGACGCAGTCTGGCCAGACCCCGAGCCTGGACTCATAGCTGGTAATCTTAGAATTGATTGTGTACCTAAGCACAGCTTTGAAAGTTTTGTATCCCCACTGAGAATGTTGTCTACTTATACAAAATAATTGTATGTACATTTAGCATTGTTTCTTTGTTACTCCTTCTCCCAGACTTGGTAATCGCTGCCTTGACCAACGCTTCGTTTCCAATTTCCAATGAGATCGTTCTGCTTGGATGGGTTCCAATCGAAGCGACCGAGTTTCACCACCAGCTGCTCCCCAACTTTCGCAACGTAGCCATCGTTATTTGCGTGGAAGATTTTTACAGGACTCCGGCAGTTGATGCCAGTGCGATTCCTTGCTGCGATGAGATCCACAATGGGATCACGCAGCCCAAAGTCATAAAAGTGATCGTAGAAGATCACAGGCTGTGGCAACAAATAAAGGTGAGGAAAAACGCACTGCAATATATTCGTTTCAAAGAGAAACTTACAGTTCCAGGATGTGTTAGTATGTATGCGTAGCCTTGAAGGAGTTTGTCACGAGGAAATGGCCAATGACCCTGTGCCGGAATAAAAACTTTCAGTCACTTGAGGAACTCATGCAAGACGGCGTACCTGAGTTGATCCTGTGTCGTGGTTCTCAAGGAATGTTACCGCTCTCGAAGGCCACCAGCCCATAACACCAGGGGGTTTCTGTCGTGGATCAATGAGTCTCCAGTACTCGTTGTGCAATGCGGCATGAAGAATGCCCTGTAAAACAGATCAGTCAGGCACATTCTTTTCTAGTTTTGGGTGCACACCTTTGTTGTCACGTCGAAAGCAGAGGAAGTTCCTCCAGTTGCATTGATCCAATCGATGATACGTTGTCTATGAGCATCTTTACGCAGAAGAAAAGATAAACATTAGATGAGGTAAGTCATGGATTTATCCTCAGGCTTACCCTGGTTATATGCAACGTTTCCACCTTCGTACAGCAAACTGTCCCAGTACTCGCCGATCGCAAAAGCAGGTTCACTGGCTTCAATATATTCTTTCACGTAACCTCCCCAAAATCCCCTGTGTTTAACGAGAGAGAGTGTGAATCGATATATAGCATCAAGTTGTCTAGACCGCTTACCTGACAAAGTCTAAACGCCAGCCATCATATCCAATCTCTGTTTTCAGCCAATCCAAGTATTCTTTGATGTCCTTTCGAACGAAGGCCTGGGAGTGATCAATATTGGGAGCAGCATGGAAAATATCACCTGAATACGTTAAAAGATGTTAAATAACTGTTGAAGAAAATGCTGAACTTACCGCTAGAAGGATTTCCTCGCCCTTGAAAGTTTGGATCATCGTTCACTATAGCCTCTGGTCCCCAAGAAAGCTTTCCTCCAAAAATATTCCAGACGCCATTTGAATTCTGTGATTTTTGTCGCTCAAAAACAGTCAAAATTACTGGTGAGAGGACACACAATGCTGCTTACTTGTTTGCCGGCACACCGGTGATTCAACACAACATCACCTAAGACCTGTGCGCATTTAGAATAGTTAGAAAGCACCTTCAGGCCACTAGTTGAGTTTACCAAAAGGTCGTGCTTGTGCATTTCTTGAATACAATGTTTTAACTCGTCCATGGATCCGTATGCTGAATTGAGGTTGTAGAGATCCACCGGCATGTAGCCTACACAATAGAAAAAAAAAACTTGATCCGTTACTCTGTTCGGCACCCGATTATTGACATGATACCTTGTGGAGCGACGGATTCTGTAGGTGGAGGAAACCACACAGTTGTTATGCCGGACTGCGAAAGATCAGCAGCTTTTGGCGCCAGGTCCTGATACCATCTCTTGCGGCAACTCTCCCAATTGAAGCCTTGAAACTTAAAACAGAAAGAAGAATCTAATGATTTTTTGCAAAACAAGGCTCAGCAATATACATACCACGATTTCACGACCAGACCCTGTCCCTGATTCTGTAGGACGAACAAAGTGAGATGAAAGATTATAAAGAGGAAAGAAAGAAAAGAAGATCACTGTACCAGAAAAGAGAACGTACCAGGCTTTTCTTTTATCACTCTTCCTTTCCTCTTTGTAATAGTTGTTTGACCAAGAGCCTGCTCCAGGTCCCTTCGTTGTTTGTCCAGAGTTTCCTTCGCTACCACGTCCTTGGAAAACAAGTCATCTTGCTTCACTTTCGCCTTTGCAACGGACCATACTTCCTCCAACGAAGGAAGCTCAAGAGGTTTCGAGGTCTCTGTATCCGCAGAAACTGTTGTCTGATGTCTAGGAGGAATTCCTTGCATTGCTGCTTGTATTCTCTTCTTCATCCAATCTGGTATCTCCCTTCGTGGACCACCTTCAACGAGTTCTGCGATCTTATCTCCGCCTAGCAGTGCCGTCATACGACCATCTGAAAATACCACTGACCACTCAGCATCGGATCTCTGAAGCAACCCCTCGCTATTGAGGGCTCTCTCCTTCCAAGCCAGTAGCGAGGCTTCGGAAGCAGCAAGCGCGTTCTCGAAAGCTTGAAACCTTCGCAAATTCGCTTGCTCTTTAATTTTCTTGGCTTTCTCGGACGCCTCCATGGCTGCTTGTAGAGCTGCTAGCTGCGCCTCGAAAGCAACCTTGAGCGACTCCTCCCTAGCGCTTGCGGTGGCTCTGAGCGACTCAACTGCCTCGTTAAACATGGAAGCGCGCTCTTGAGCAGCATCCCCGACTTTCTGACGGAGCTCCTGAACAGTAACGTCCGCCTTGGCAGCTCGAGCCTCCGCAACTTCGGCTTGAGACTTTGCAGCGTCGGCAGCAAATTGGAGTCGCGAGAGATCGTCCTTTGCAATCTCCAGTTGTTTCTCGAGAGAAGCCACCGATTCTTCCAGAGTCGACAGCAGAAGCTCTGGCTTCGGCACCTTCTCAAGCAGCAGGAGCTTCTGTGCTAGAGTTTCTTCCGCCCGCTGTGCACACTCCTTGGCCGTCTCTAGCGCCTTTCGAGCCTCATCTGCTACAGATTCGAGCTCCGTAGCCACCGATACAGCCGCGTCACTGGCAGCATCTTTGACAGTCTTCTCCACAGTAAGATTCGCGTCGGCAACCGACGTCCTTTCCACCACGTCTTTGAGCTTTGCACTGCGCCTCGATATCTCCTCCAGTACAAACTCGGCAATCTTCTGGACCTTCTTGTTGATGTCTTTGACGTTTTGTTTCTCCAGCGCAGCAATCTTCTCTTGCAAAACGTTTCCCAGCTCCGACTTGAGTGACTCATTGCTCCAGTCACTCGTAGACGCAGACATTTGCTTTGTCACTATCTTCCTCTTGCTATCCTCCACTACCGGTGAATCACGTTGCAATGCAGCACTGGAACACGAATTCAAAAAGAAGTGAGACACGTCTAAAGCTTAAAGGCAAATGGGAAAAAAGTAAAGAAATTTACTTCACAAAATGTTGCGTATAGCTCAAACGCTTCTGGATACCGGTGGCTCGTCCTCCCTGCCGATTTCCGGGTATGAACTGCGAGGAAACAGTGAATCAATATCCACAGAAGAGATTGATCGACATCTAAATGCGAGGCGAGAGAATGCGGCGCTATCGATCCTGCCAAAACCCTCGACGCACTGGATCCGTCGCAATCGGACCTCCAGACACCGCGCGCGCAAGCGCCCCCGCGACACAAGCCGCTTTACATACCGTGGAGCATCTGTGAGGCCGAATCACGGCAGCCGACGCCATAGCTCCGCCTCGCCCTTGTTCTGCCTTGACGATCCTGGAAGTAATAATATAAAGACCTCAAGGAATGTAAGGAAAACGCGCACAGCCATTGCGATGCAAGCACGTGGCGCAACAGGATGCATTTGGGGCGCTTTACACTTTTCCACAGCCATATCTCCTCTCGCTTTTTGCCAACGTGGATCAACGACGTGTCAGACTTGACCTCCAATCAATGCAGGAAAAATGTTGCATGGATATTCTAAGAGATAGGCTCGTGGGTTTCTAAATTTAGAGATAGAAACTATAGCATGGTTGATCATACAATCGAACAAGGAGACATTGAAAGAGATAGAAACTATAGCTCGCTCATGGTTGATCACTTCCTTACGTAGGCAAAGTATTGGAGCATAGGAACCACGAAGGCGATGACGAGAAGGCCCACAACCACTGTCGTGAACTGGCCACGCTTTTCCTCGGTCTCTTTCTTGGTCTTGAAATTGGATTCGCGTTTGTTCTCCTGGAACTTGGGGCCGCCTGGATCTGGCAGCCCGTCTATGGCGGCGATCAGACGATTGCAAGTGCTGTAGAGGGCTTCGTTATACTTCTCGTCGGTCGCCAGCACTGGAAGGAGGCCAAGAGAGTGATTAGAAATAAGAAACATGAAAAGAGTACTGACTAGAAACATCTCTAGATGTTAAGAAACAGTAGTTCAATCTAGCTATCAAACTGACTAGAAACCGCTGTGACTTTGATCTAGAAAAACCATAGAGGAGAAGGATTTGCTAGTTTGAAGAAGTATAACGAGCTGAGAGGAGTGATATGATCTAGAGACTTGAAAGAATTCGTACCAGGAAGGTTTTCGGAGACGACGGCTTCGAGGATCTGGTCACCGATTGCCTTGGTGAACTCTGGGCCGCCGGTGACAGCGCCTTCTTTCTGTGTTGTCACGAGTAAAACGAGTCCTTTGTTGTTGCCAACTTCTACAGTAGGGTACCACTTCTCCAGTAGCTGATCCGCAAATTCGAACGCATCGGCTTTACTCTACACGCACACTGTTTGTAAGTTAGTCTCCGTTCCAAGAAAATGGCATTCAATCAAGGAGAGATGAAAGAAACAAGGCGATGCATGAATCAGGATCATGAAAAAATCGCGGGGGACAATCTAGAAGAACACAAACTACCTAAAGGATCGCCATGGAGACATTGCCTCAATTCACACAAACCACTCGAGAGCAATCATCAAGCAGAGAAAGCACAAGAACAAAAAAATAGACAACACGGAAGGATGGAAGTGAACTTACCGTCAATTTGCGAAGAGTGACAATGTCGATGTGAAAACCCTTGCGCTCCTCCAAATCCGTGAGAAGATTCTTGATATCCGACTTGTTGACACGGCTCACAACACCGGCATCGTCCACGAGATGGCTCTCCGTGGGAGGTCCATTCGCCAGCACGCTGAATTCGTTCGCATTTGCTGGAAGCACTGGCACCGCTGAGATCTGGAGCGCCCCAGCTATAGCAAACGCCGCCGCAGCTTGAAGCGCTGGCACCGCTCTCGAATCTGGGGAAGAACGCATTGCTGCCCTAGCACTTACCTGCATTCGAGGAGAGGATTGGCGGCATCTTCTAGAGTTCTTCCCCAGGATTGAAGATGCCGCGATCGATGCTTGCTGCGGCAATGTGAGCGTCGCCATAGCCGATGTAAATATTTCCCTTCGCTAAAGAGGCATTCCCGCCTTATCTATCACAAAGTCATCTCGGCCGTTGGATCAAACCCCACTTTTGAAAGAAGGGCAAGGAACTCCCAGCCGTTAGATCAAGGATTTTAACGTGGCGGGGTTGCATGCGTCCACCGAGCGGGTTTAGAGCCCTAACAGGAGGGAATATCAGGAATGCTGGCAACAGGCGATTGCCGTGCGCTGTGATCGTCCAGATTTTGGGAATGGCGGACACGCGAGGAGCGGCGATTTACAGGCTAGAGGATGTTAAGGCGCATGATAGCGCCGAGGATTGCTGGCTGGTGATCGCTGGGAAGGTCTACGATGTCACATCCTGGTGAATACGAATCAGGCGTTTCTAGATTTTGGGAGCTAAGTGATTGCTGTTGCAGGGTCCCGTCTCATCCTGGAGGAAGTATGATCTATTTGCAGGCCGGGCGCGATTCTACTCATCTCTTCGATTCTTATCATCCGCTATATGTGAGGTACGTCGGTCGATTTGGAAATCTCCAGGCTGTGATGCTGACTCTAAGATCCCAGGAAATTGTTGTCTCGATACTACATTGGTGATTTCCAGGATGAGAATTACGATAATATCCAGTACATGCAGCCATTCGAAGAGAAGTTCTACACGACCCTCAAAGAACGAGTGGAGTCTTTCTTTGATAAATTCAAGGTAACATTTTCTTTTTTCTCATTTCTTGTGGGAATTAAATGATCATTGTGCAGCTGGATGCAAGAGTTCATCCTCATATGTTTCTCAAGTCGGCTCTAATTTTTGTAGGCTTGATCTTCTGCTACTACACGACTTTCTACAGGCAACAGCACTTTTTGTTTTCACTGCTCTCTGCTGCTGGGATGGGATTTTTCATTGCGGAGATTGGTTTATCAATCATGCACGATGCGAACCACGGTATTTATTTAGTTGGTTATCTCTCCAACTTGGCTATGTTGTTTCTTACGGCATCCATATTGTTTGTGTATTCAGGTGCTTATTCTCGATACCCTCTCCTTGGATATATCATGGGAGCGTCGCTAGATATTGTTGGCGCTAGCAGGTATTTTGTCTTGCAGTTTTAGTTTCTTCAAAACCAGATTCTGCAGTTTCATGTGGAAATACCAGCATGTTGTGGGACATCACTCTTTTACAAACGTTCACAACTATGATCCTGATATCCGTAAGTTTCCTGTTCTTTTTTCACCGCCTCCTGTGAACTTCGTAGCTTTGTGTATACCAGGTGTTAAAGATCCTGATATCCGCCGTGTGACAAGCAAACAGCCATGGCATGACTACCATATGTATCAAGTAAGACCGCTTCTGAAATCTTATTTACGTGCTAATGTAACTTTTGCAGCACGTCTATCTGGCCATTCTCTATGGCCTTCTAGCGCTGAAAAGCATCTTTCTCGATGATTTCGTGGCTTATTTTAATGGATGCATTGGACCGTGAGTTTTTCTACGAAAGCCTCTTTCAATAATGACTATCGTTGTTTTTCTGCAGTGTAAAGGTGCCCAAAATGACACCCGTTGAATTTCACATTTTTTGGTGGGGCAAGGCTGTGTATGCCACCTACATGCTTGTCTTGCCCCTACTATTCAGCCATCACAATTTTCTTTCTTTATTAGTTTGTTATCTGGTCTCGCAGGTATGATGTATCCAGACTCTTGTTCATCTATAATTCACTCTCTACAGCTAGTGACGGGATGGATGCTCGCTTTGCTCTTTCAAGTAGCTCATGTAGTCGAAGAAGCTGAATTCTTCGATGTCGACTGTACCAATGGTGTCCCAACTTTGTCTTCTGGGTGGGCGGCATTACAGGTAAGAGAAATATACTTGAGCGGATATGTATCCTGCTTGTGATGCAATTTTTTTCCAGGTCAGGACTACCGCAAACTTCAGTGTCAATTCCTTATTCTGGACGCATGTTAGTGGCGGTTTAAATCACCAGGTATTATTGTTCCTCACTGTCCCTTGATGTATCGTAACACTGTTTTCCAGATTGAGCATCACTTATTTCCAGCGATTTGTCATCTTCATTATCCAAGGATTCAACCCATAGTGGAGTCCACGTGCAAAGAGTTCGGCATCCCTTACCATCGATTCCCAGATGTGAGTGCATTCGTATTGATGGTAGTCCCGCTACATTCTTAACCCTCGTCCTTCTTCCAGGTGTGGACGGCTCTCAAAGCTCATTTTGCGTACTTGAAGAAAGTTGGGGGAAGTGTCGAATTCAGGTTAGCCGGGTAGCCAACAGGAGGGTAATCCACTCGCACTTTCTCCGATTGTAGGGTACGGATCTTATCTTTTAAGTTCAAATGTGAAAGTTCTTTTCCCATAAGATATTAAAATTGTCAACAGAATCCATAAGAATAATAGTGTTATTCTTATTTAGTATTATTATAATTCAATTGGTCAAATTAATTATGCTTTCTTGACAAGGTGTATTTAAATTAAATTTACATCTAAATTTTTACAATGTATTTTTAGATTTTTATTAAACTTAATTAATAGTTTATTATTACTTTGAGTAGCTAACTAATAGTTAGCTCATTTATACTTATCTATCTTTTATATCTAATCCAAATGTGATCTCATAAAACCCTGATAATACCTCCCTTTTCAAAAATGAGTGGAAGAAGAAGGATGATTATATAAAAAAGTGTGACATTGGCATAAGGATGATGGGGCTAAAGAAGATGTAGAATTAGGTTTAAGATGATAATAATAGTGAAAATTTTGAATTTTAAGAAGGCAATGAAAAATATGTTTAACAAGCTCTTAAGTATGATTAAAAGAACCATAACAAAGCAAATTAAATAATAAAAAATGACACAAATCTGGTGGAGAAGGGGGTGACAATTAAGAATGATATTAGAGTGGTAAGGTTCAAGAAAATGAATATGAAAAATAAGATGAATTTGATAGGATGGAAAGAAATAAAATTAATTTATTTAAGAATATAAAAATGACCCAAAGTGTTTGTAATAAAGTCTAAAAGAAGGATATGTAATACATGATAGCAAAATAGTCAAACTTGATTTCCAAATTTAATCCTCCTCCTCCATTTCTCTCTTGCCTTTGAAATCTTTTTTGATTCCTGTTAAAATATCTAGTTCTTAACACCTCTAACATATCTAAAATTTCTACAAAGTTTATTGATTGCTATTGCCAACCTATCCCTATATATAAGGTAACTAAGGAAACATCTCAAGAACTACATCAAGGTCTAGATGGTATGTTTAGTTTGACTATCATCTCAGCCAAGGATAAGTTGCACTTAACCCTATGTAATTTGAGAAAATTATCTCAATGAGGAAATAATTTAAAGTTATAATCACTTATAATGTTCTAAAGAATGCCATGTAAGTGAAAAATCTCTTTGAACACCAACTAAGGAATTCTTTCCCTAGTGATAAATTTGGTATATGGAAGGAAATAGGCCATCTTTGTGAACATATTAGCCACCACCAAAAGACTATCAAATTTCTAGGAAGGTTAATCAAGAAATCCATTAAAATAAATTATCATAATCCAAGAGGAATAAAAAGAGGTTGGAGCAACCTTAAAAAAGCATGTCAAAAATTATTATTGCCAAAATGTCTAACAGTTGAGATTGTAAAACTAATCACTAAACATCCCCTTCAAGAATGTAAAAAAGAAGTTCTTACAAACTTGATGCAAGTGATTAAGTTGGAGATGAGAAAAACCTTAATAGCAAATGAATCACTCTATAAAGAGTTTTGAACAATATTGAATAACTAACGTTAAAGAAATTTAAGCCAATAAAGCCTAATATTACAAATTGAAAGGTAGGTTTTAAGTTCAAGTATGATCACCTAGGCAGGCTTATAATGCATCATAAGGTCAAAGTGAGAAAAAAATTAAGCTTACTAAGCTTGACATTGATTGATAACCCAAGTAGTTAAGAAATACTTAAAGCTCTTATAATTATTCCACACCACAGTCTAATGTTGTGGGCTCTCAAGAAAACATTGCCACTTCTCAAAATAATAAACAATTTACAATAATTCTTTATTATAAATCTTTGTTAACTAAAACTTTCTAGAATGGAAAGCTATAGAATGTAGCTTGCCATCCTCACCAAGTTGGGATAACACACTCCCAAAGCAAAGTCAAAGATATTAGCTTGCATAAAAAAATGGTTTTATAGATTTATATAAAGAGGCATTGTTATTGAAGTAAAGACAACTAAGAAAAATAATTTGCCATAGAAATGCCATGAGGTATGATTATATATCCCAAGATCTCCAAGACCATGTTTTTCTAGCATCTTGAGAACCAAGCAAATATGTTAGTCATGTGTTTGCTTGAATTCAAGATAAACAAGAATATCATTAAGGTACATAATCACCATTTTATTGAGGAGCTTTCAAAAGACGTTATTGGTTATATATTAGAATCGGTAGGAGCATTAGTTAGCCCAAATGTATTATAAAGTACTTGAAATATCCATAGTGTGTTCAAAAAGTAGTTTTCTACTCATCACTAAAGCGAATCTGAATAAGATTATAAGCACTACAAAGCTAGCACCACCAAGTCTATAAAAAAACCTAGGGAAAAGGATTTTGTTTTGGACTAAAACTGCATTCAAACCTTAATAGTCAAATACAAACCTAAGAATTCCATCCTTCTTTTTGACAAGAAAATAAAAACACCTACAAGAAATTAAGAGTGATAAATATAACCTTTATCAAGATTCTTACAAATGTATTCTTGATTTGCAATAAACTTGAAACAATGATTGGTTCTTATGGCGGCTGCACTCCTTGCAAATTAATTGGGAAATCATATGAAAGGACACTTACTTTCTTCTTATTGAACACATAACTAAAGTTTTCATAAAATAATATATTCAGAAATAAATAATAACTCATTATTAGACTTATGTGCAATATATGTGTTTCTATACCCTACTGTGATTTACTATAAAATAGCTATCGAGTGAAATCCTTGGACATATGTGCCAAGGACAATGGAGCAAGACTTGAGTTTCAAAGCTTTATACCATTGAATAAGGGATGGAGTTGAACTCCCAAGTGTACAACCAAAGAGTAAATGAATAAGAACATAGAGTAATATTAGAATAATTCTAGAGTATCTCAACAACAAGACAAATATATAAAATGGAGCCAAATAAAGTCTAGTGCTATTTTAACATATTAATGGCTTAATGTGAGGAAATAGGTGCTAGCATGGTATAAAACTTAGGCTTAAACCTAAGTTAGATGTGAAATAAAGATAGATATATCTAGTAAAGAATTAGACAATGTTTTGGAACCAACAATAACTAATAAAACTAAAATATAGGATATAATAATGAGTGTCTGGTAGATAAGGTAAACTATCATATAGTGATATTAAGGGACTAATGCTTAATATGCTATGGTTTTTGTCACTAACTAGTGCAAAATATAACAAAATAAAAATTTCCTTATCAAGCCAAGTATGCTTAGTTAATGATATGTATGAATTTAGTCCTTATACTCATTCAGTCTAAGTATACTCTTAACTTAATAATAGATCATCTTCAAGAATTAGTCAAAGCTACTACAATGATACTATATATAAATAGACTACATCATCTTCATAAATACATTGCTCATGATCATAAGAACATGATATAAAAATCCTAATTACTTGATCTTCAATCAAGAAATACTACAAGCAGGCCTATATCACTATTATAAAAGTTTATGTGAATATCAAGTACCAACTCTAATCAATAAAATACAAATTAATGCTATATCTTACCAATAGAGATTTATGACATTTAACATCACCAATGTTATTTACAATATAGTCAAGATGTTTTCTTATCAAACTTAAAATTAATTTAACACTACATTATTCAAGGAGCAATAATAAGGTTCACTAGAAAGAATTAAACATTGCAACTCAAGCTTTTCAATAAAAAATCTAAATAAAATGGTCTAGTGCTTCACCACTTTCCATCCTATAACACATCATTCATAAAACCATTATAATCAACAAGCATTGAATTAGAGATTATTGATTGCATAATGTGCATGAATAATAAGATCAAACCTTGTTACAAATCATCTCTTTGAGAAAAGAAGATGATTTATATGTTTGATCTTTGTCCCTAATGGACTTTCTTTTTAGACTCAACTTAACTAAATTTTAAGGTTGCATTTGCATTACATTAAAGAAAAGTTATGAAATGACCATTTGAACTAATAGACTAATCTTTATAGTCTTGATTAATATAAGAATAATCATGTATAAGAAGGATCCATTAGTGTCATGCTAAATATTTGCCACTCCTAACAAATATAAGAGAGGTTTATTTGTACCCATAGTAATATAGTAATAACTCATGATAACTGCTAATAGGTTAATATTAATTTTGCCAACTTAAAGTGTAACCTAAGCCTAAGTCATAAGCTTAAATATATACTCGTGCAAATAGTACATCTTAAACCCATCTAAAAAGCCCAAGCTAAAGTTTATACAAAATGGTATGTACCTGTAGCGCACGTGGTTTTGACCCTTTATCCTATAGTGATTTACCATAGGATAACACCACGAAGCGGAACCTAAACCCTCTTTGTGCCACGTGATGGATGCCACGTGTCACATGCCATGTGTCCATGCCACGTGTCCATAGGAACCCGAGGTTCAGGGCCTTGGGCCACTGAACGAAGGAACGGTGCCAAACTCCCAAGCATGGAGCCAAGGAGTGACGGAACCGAACCACGGAGCAACTCCCGAGCATACAGCCCAAGGAGTGAAGGGACAGGAGCCCGGAGCGACTTGGAACAGTCCTAGAGTAACCAGCATCCCAATGCCAGGACCAGCACGCAAAACGGAGCCAAATGGAGTCTGGCGCTATTTTAGCATACCGGTGGCCTAACGCGAGGATATGGGTACTCCACCAACTAGCATGGAATGGAACTTGGGTTTAGACCCAAGCCGGACACAGAACAAGGACAGGCACGCAAGCGGGAGCTAGACTATGCCTTAGGTTGGTCGGCCATGCCCGACTTACCCACTATCCCTACTATACATTTGGAACCCCCCACAGCCCCCCCCCCCCCCCTTAAGGAACACACGCTTTGGGCTTTCACCCCAAGCCTCCCTTAGTATCAGGAGTTAGTCTCTGGGACAAGCTCGAAACTTACTAAATATGGAATGTCCCTAGATTGCGAATTTGGACACGGGACGAACACCATTGTGTTCAGGACAATCTCTACATTCCGTAGATATGCCAAATGAGCAAATCTAGACACTTTCCATAAATAGCATTTGGGACTGAAGCGAGACTAACACAAAGGGCATGATAGCGAGGGTGTTTGGCAGACATGGTAAGCTATCATCTAGCAATATTGAGGGACCAAGCTCAATATC